TTTCCACAAATGCAAAATCCAGCTTGATTGTTGTCGTCGAAGTGCATTGTGAGTGTGTTCGAACCCGTCATGTTGAAATTGTTGGGAGGAGTCTGAACTACATAGATGCCCTGACGTCGATCAACCCCTGTCACGGAATGTCCAACTGCCTTTTGTGACCACAGCTTCATCTTCTCTTTGCATGAGAAGGTGTACTGTGAACGACCACTTCTAATTTGTGCTTCTGTCTCCAACCTCATCTTATCAAATTTCTCCAACAATCGCCAATACGTATGTTGCACAAGAGAAACTATAGGAGGTGAACGAATACCTTTGAAAACATCATTGATGCTCTCTGCCATGTTGGATGTCAGGATAGACCATCGACGCCCACCATTATAGTTATCATGTGCTAAGTTCCAACGAATTTGATGTTAGTCCACCCAGTTATCACAAGAAATATTCCTATCAGCGGCCACCTTCCTAAATTGCTCAACTTGACGATCGAACTTCTCCAAGCTTTTTTCTCCGGCTAACGAAATAAACAATCATACGAGTTAGATAAATTCATGACAGAATTAAATGAAAATAAATAACAAAATTAAATGAAGAAGACTTACCGACTCGAAATAGTTTCTTATACATAATTATGCTTTTAGTCTTCCTTTTCAAATTGCTTGCATAGTGTCGCATGCACCACCTCCACTCACAACCTCTTCCGATGTCACTCATGGCTTCATAGAACCCCGCATGTCTATCTGAGATGATGCAGACATCATTTCAATCGGTCAAACCTTGAACGCGAATTATGAACCATGACCAACTATCAATATTCTCGCTCTCCACTATGGCAAATGCAATTGGAAAAATCTTCTTACGGTCATCAAATGAGCTCGCCATGAGTATCTCCTTTATACTTTCCAGTAAGAAATGTTTCATCAACAACCATGACTCCTGGACAATTCTTGAATCCATCTATACAAGGTCCATAAGCCCAGAATACTCGCCGAAAGATCAAATGGCCTGGTTGCGATGAAGGAACTCTTATCCAATCAATCACTGATGTTGGCATTTTTTTCTTTACCACCCACAAGAATGTTTGCCAATAATCATAGGATTCTTCCCAATTTCCATGCAACTTCTCCAATGCTCTTTGTTTCCCATACCAAGTCTTCTTATAAGTAACTTGCATATTAAACTTATCTTTCAACTCGGCCAGCACAGTTAGAACACTCAGATTTGATTGGGCACGTACCAAATGTTTCACGGACTTAGATATAACGTCGACATCAAAGTGGCGATGATCCGTCGGTTGAGTCGTACTGCTACAAGAATGCACCAACTCGGCCTTTCTCACAGTCCATTCACTTCCAACATCTCGACATCCAAACCGCACCATCCAAGGACAAGTGTCATCCTTGTACTTCAAGCATATGACCTTCCAGATTGAAGGTGACGACTCCACAACGCCATAGTGAAAGTTGTGTTATAATGCATGGTGTTTAATCGCCACCTATGCAGCTTGTTTCGAGTGAAATATCTGGCCCTTTTAGAATTCTCTTTCAAAACTAGCAATAATAGGCATTGGAATTACATCATATGAATCAGCATATGATAATTCGTTGTCCTCTTCATTACCTTGCAAGTAAAAATATGGAGGATAATTAGATTGCTCTCCTTCACCATCTTCCTCCTCCTCCTCCGCTTCTTCCTCCTCTCCGTCAACATCGTCATGATCGGATGGCATGCTCCATGTCTCATCTTCTTCCTCTCCACCCCGATCCTTACCGAGCTCAGCATGTATCTCAGCACCCAAACAATAAGGGTTTTGTGTCATAAAATTCCAAAGCGCATTCAAGCTATCATCATCCACAATAGGCATCGCATAATGAAATAAAACATCATTCTGCCATTCTGGAAGACAGTAAGTGAAACCTGTTATCACATCACTATCTTGTACTGCTTCATCTTTACGTCGTATTCTCTGAATTAGATTCTCACAAAGTTTGTGATATGTCAACCTGGATAGCACCGTCAACTGAAAACTTCTACTACCAACGAAATGGACGCCCAAATTATCCTCTACTTTCTCCGATTTCCACCGAACGACTAGTTCAAATCTTCTAAAATCACTACATAAGAAAACAAACTCACTAACTACTAACTAAAATAATCATAATAGCATTTGAAGAATATAATTAAAAAATAAATGTGTTTCTTACCTATTAGCCATCTTTGCAGCAACTAGAGCTTCTTCGTCTAACTTTGGAACATCGTTGTTTTTGGTGGTGAGACTGAAATGAAAATCGCTAGGAATATATGGTGCTGGAGTGGGTGTGTAGGGCAGCGAACCCGCCACAGTCTGAGCGCCCCCCGCTGGCCATCAAACACGCCTCAGTCTGGGCCGCCACCGCTAGTCAAAGAATTTGGACATTCAACAACCAAAACGTAGGGCGCAAACGCCCCAGTCTCGGGTTGATCCGCTCGAATCGGTTGAAAAAATTTCAAATAGCGTGTCCGCATGAGTCTCGGCCGGGCTCGCTCCTATCCCTCTACAAAACACAATATGTGTGTAAATAGTTTTTAAAGCGCCATATTGGTGGTAAAATAAAAAAAAATTATGGAATTAACCCAAACTTTTTCTGGTTCGGCGTTGAATTTTCCGTTGGACAATTTTTCTCGCTAAGTTATACACTTAATTTCGTTACTTTCAGTCACACTTCTAATTGAAAATAATATTTTCAGATTAAACAATAAGAAATATCATATTACTAATCTCAATTCTCCTCGATTCCTAATTTCTTCACTTCCTAATTCCTAAAGCTCCTTTGCGGGACTTCTGGTGTCTATCAGTGAGGGAGATTGAACCCAGAGAATTGATCCATACCCTACAAGATAAGAACAACTATGTGAAAAAAGACTAGAAAAAAATAAACATGAGATGATGGCCTTGGTTCTGACCAAGAAAATAAGGAAGCAAGCTCCACCAAGTAAACTCAGTGTTTTCACAAACAAAACTTCCTGACAGTCGATACTTCCTCTATAGATAAAGACTTCAACTATTGATGCCGCTTGCCTCTTCTGCAAGGATAAAGGTTCCCAGTCCTGCACAAATCACGGGAAAAGGAAATACAAATATATTACCCCGACTACTATTTTTCTCAGTCACGTACTTCAGAAATTTACCACAATGAGGTTGCTCGTCGTTAATTCACTGGGTTTAAGAAATGCAGAATAAAGCTGTATGTGATCAAGGGGAATCTGATTGAGACTTGCACCAGAAATCATCCACCACAATTATGGACTAACCTCGAGATCAAAAGCACGACCAGTCCATTCCAAAATGTGAAATGATCAACGATTTAGAAACTTCTGTAATCTGAACATGGGAAATGGAGACAATGAATCTTAACATGTCCTACCAATGAAATCAGCTGTCTCATAAACATCCAAGCAAAATCTAAAAGACACATTTGACCTAGTACAACTTCTACGTACATGATAACAAGCCCCATTACTCTTACCTATGAAGCTAATTTTGCTATCGGACAACCACTAGATATCAAAGTTAACACCCCTAATGTCATCTATGACCAAATGCAATACGAGTTCCAAAACTGAAGATCTGGTAACGTGCTAATGATCCAAATCCTGGATCAGGAAAAGAATTCGAAGTATTTGCTTTGGAAGCCAATTTGTACAGCTGAGTTAAGTAATAAACTAATAATCTAGCAGCACCAAGCACAGATCAAATGTTTTCAGAAAGATATGAAACTTCCACCAAGAATGGTTTCTGGAAATAGACAACAAGAAACATATTGCCAGTAAGACATTCAAGACTGTATGACAGCCATAGTTTCTTTTTTCTATTTAAGATGATCTCGATCAATAGATCCGGCTAACCAATTGTTCTCCAAATAATTGGTGCAATGACACGACTGAGATCATCTGAGCTTCAGGACACCATTGACTGAGAACAGGAGAAAAGACTGTGTACTCTTTCTCGGCACTTGACTTCAGTCCATCAGCTAGGAAAGCTAAAGGATGTCTCTTTTCTGTTTTAGATTCAACATATATCTTCCTTGCTGCCTAAGGAAAAATAAACCATGAAGGTCAACTTAACCATACGAAAGGAAAGTGGAAAGAAAATTCACACAGAATGCAGAAACAAAAATGAGTGGCTATAAAGATGTAGGAAAACAACAGATATTAATTAACAAGTCGCACCCTCCTGCACGTAGCTTCAGTTGACGACCCCTTGACATAAGACTTCAGTATTCTAGCAGTATTATCATTTGAAGCACTCAGTTTTACCAGTTGCACACAAAACAGCTTTTTGCTTAGACAACATTAATAGAAATTGCATACCTCTACGGAGGAAAAGTACCATCAAAACCTGAGAGCTTTTTGTTGAGAAAGACCAGTTCGATTGCGAGTTGCATTTCAGGGCCGGGATAAAACAGCGCCAACAAAAAAAAAGGTACTTACGCGTAAAATTACGCAAGTCCAAAATCATTCCACAGATGGAGAAAATTCGATACTTCAAAGAGAGAGCAGAACAGAAAGAAACGAGAGTTGCAGAAAGTTCTCCACGCTTGATTTCCTCGGCAACCAAACAACGCGCAGAAATTCTGAACTGTAAATAGGGAAAAAGGCAACAGGAAGCGTCATTTTCTGTGATTTGCTTGAGCACTCCGCCGAGTTCAAAATGCGCGCTTTTCCTTTCTTGCTTGCTCTCCCTGTCCGTTGTTAGCAGCATCCCGGCAGGTGCCAACAAATTGAGCCTGGGCGACGTCTAACTCTTTGGGGGAGAACAATTCAAAGTAAGAAAGCCAGCCAAACAGCATATTTAGCAGGCGCTACAATTATCCTACAACAGAGTACGTTTATCTGTATTCAGCAGGAGTCTGGCTGAATTGTGATATGATGTTTATAATATATATATGGAACTTGGAGCATCCAACATATGATTTCATTGCTGAATCGCCCCATGCATTTCAGTAATTTCATCATTACACAATCTTGTGCATTCGATCTAACGGCTAGTAATGCACAAGAGGGCGAGCCAATAGCACTGGATCGCCCAAAGTCAGCACCATAGCCAAAGTCTCGAGAGCTCCTTACGTTGTTTAGCACCTTGCTTTTTCATCAGAAGTTTTTGTTAGAATTTCAAAAACCAACCTGTTCTATGTTCTATCCCAGTAGCCCGTAAGGGCACAGGGGAACATGTAAAAATTCATTCCTGCAAGAAGAAATCCATCTCTATACAACAACAAAATTTGCACACGCTAAGAAACATGGAGGGAAACCCTAAAGGAGAATTACACATATATTGATATATATGGCTATGTTATTGCCTCTAACGAGTACTATGACTAAGCGAACGCCAAGAATCAATCAAGCGACCTCCAACAGTAAAGAGACATCACTGTTCACTACTGAGACCTCCACGGGAGAAGAAGAAAAAAAGATAAATAAACACACGCAAGTACCATTTCAGCAATGCAGGTGGCCTCTGATCATCAACACTAGACACTAGGGATAGCACACAAAGAGAAGGTAGCAAGGAAATCCAGTTTGAGCTCGAGTCTCTCGATGATTTTGTTGTGCGTTGATGACTGATTGGTCTACGAACAGTATGTAAGAATGTCAACAACTCCTGCATAATGGCCGCAATATGTGCAAAGATCTGATTTTTCAAACCCTTTGTTGCAGTTTATACTTCCTCCCTGTCTTGCCGGCCACTCTTCAGAATGTTGTACTTGCAGAGAGGACATGTGGCATTGATGTGAAGCCACTTGTCTACGCAGGTGCAGTGAAAGTGATGTCCACAGGGTAGTTCCCTTAGCTCAACCCCATCGTCATAAGAAGATAGGCATATGCAACATTCCTATATCCAACAAACACCAACAGTCATTCTTTTTGTTTTCCTTCTAAATCGAGAACTAAAGTATAAAAACTGGTGGACAGCTTAAAGAAGATAGATGGAATGCGTACTGCATCCTCCTGGGAAAGGACATGCTCAATTGGAGAATCAGTGCCACATTCTGTCATTATTCCACCAGGAGTTTCTTGATCCTCATCAGCAAGCTTCTCGTTATTGCTGGCCCTTCGGAATTTAAACTTTACAAGCTGATCTATATCTTCTTTGGATGCTCCTTCCTGGTTTTATATTTTGCATACAACGTTGAAATACGGCAATAAAAGACATTAACTATTGCCAACTAACGATAGAAATGACAATGTCAAAATGCAAATAATCTGAGGTAGATAGTAATAGATAAAATGCACATATATACTGATGCGCACAGATTCTGCTTCCGTGTTTTTTATTGTTTTTTTCTCTTATTTCCTACTTCTGAACCAGTCTGATTTGGTTTTCTGCCTCTTCCTCATTTGAATAGTTTCCTTATGGCAGTTAATGTCGTCAAGGAAAATTAATATTTTATTTAGAATTTTAATTTAGTTCCCTTGCACAATAGACAATAGGTAGTTCATCTGATTTTTACTTTGAGTGGATTCTCAAAACCCTATCTGGAGTGGAATCTCAAGCAAATCCTGCTCCTAAATTGCAGAGGAAACCACCTGAAATGCCATCTTGTCTACCCTTTTTACGGAATTATCAGCAACTACCTCTGAGCACAACACATGTTTCCTACGTTCTCTTTGCCTAATAAACTCTAGGTATATCAGATTACCAGGAAAAGAGCATCAGTAGACCACCACCAAAAAGTGAATTTGGGGGAAAAGTTACCTGATCAGCAACTGCATATAAGATTGCAATAATGCAAGGAAGACAACAGCACACCGCGATGCCAATCACACATGCCAGAGCAACACAGAATACCACAAAGAACACATCAAAACCAAGATAGATTATGCAAAGCCTGCAAAACAACATCCAACATTCTGACAGGAATGAGAATTTTTCTGCAAAGAAATATATGCATTGGAGCAGCATAGGTGATGAACCAACCAGTAAAGCTGAGGGGAGTCTTGTGCCAAAGCTTGTCCTCCAGCAGACACCCAGTAGAACCCAATGATCCACCAGATAAATGAAAACATAGTATTTGCAGATTCTAGGTGCTTCGCGATGCTGGCCGAAAACAGAGAAGTGAAGATAATTACTTCAGTTTGCATGAAAGATGAAATATCACACAGGTTAGGACAAAAATGTATAAAACATGATTCTGGTCATGAATAGGAATCAATCCTCAAAGAAGTATGAAAGACCAAGTAAACAGATGAGTATCCTCATGGCTAGAATACTCGCTTGCCTTCTCCCTTCAAGCCAAATTTTGGAAAATGACAGTCACAGTATCAAGAAGATTGAATTCCACAGTTTCTGAATTTCCGGAACTCATTGTGGTCGATGCTATGCAATGTACCCAATACACTATTTGAACTAATGGTTTGTACATTGATGAAGCTTTGCCACTGCTCAATATCAATCAACAATCAACCAACATACTAGCAAGAGAATTTCAGCACCGAATCTCCAAACATCTAACAGAATTACCCCAAATGAATTCCAAATCAAGCAGCTAAAGAAACAAGCATACCTGGTTCCATCATCTTGCAACTGCGCGAGCGTCACATAATCACCAGAATCACCTCTTGAACCAGAACTCGAACTCCCATCATTCCCTCCACCACCAGCCACAGTTCCAAACCCCACTCTCCTCCTCCTCCTTCTCCTATACTCCACACAAACACAACCCATATGCAACAGGCACTGCAGCCCATACCCAACAATCCACAACCTCAACGGCATGTTGGCCCGCTCCTCCGTGCTCAAAACGAGCACCGCAACCCCGGCAGCCACGAAAGCGAGGTTCCAAATGATATCCAGAATCACCACCGGCTTCGAATACGCCCAGTCACTCTGCCTCTCCTCCACGTGCTCGGCCGCTGTCTCCCTCACCACCATCGACGGCTCACGCATCATCCGCCTGCCGCTGGCCCGGCGCAGGAACCGAGCTGCATCGCGGAGGGACTGGCGACGGATGGATCGACTGTTGGTGGAGGAGTTGATGTTCGGGTCGGATGGGGACCCGGGGGAGAGCAAAGGTGTGGAGTCGATGATGTCCTCGGATGACGATCCTGACCGCGGCGGCGGAGACGACGGTGCTGCTGCCTCGGTCGACATAGCAGTACACTCTGGATGTTGTTACCGAATCGCCTTTACGTGTGATTTACCTAAATTTGGGGATATGGGTTTTACGCCATAGAAAGAGGAGGGAGGAGAAATTGTGGTTTTGGGGGTTAGGGATTGGGGAAATGGATTTTCTGGTATTGGATTTGATTGAAGTTGGGGAGTTCGTCGGCACTTCTTGTGATCCCTAGAAGATGCAGAAATGATGATGAGTTGGAACTTTTGGTTTACGTCTGTTTTCCTTTTATTAATCTTTTATTTATTTCTGGTTCAGCGTTGATTTTTCCGTTTGACAATTTTTCTCGTTAAGCTTTGCACGTGATTTTGTAACTTTCAGTCACATTCTCTGTCCTTTAGAAACAATAAAGGCTAATTTTATTTCGCAAAATACATTTACATATTTACAACTAGGCAAAATACACTTTTATAGTCACAACTTTCACATTTGTGACAGATATAATCACAATTTTTCAAATACAAGAAATAGTCAGGATTTTGATAGTTGTTTGACAAATTAGTCATTTCCGTTACAAACTTTAACGGTGTTTGAGATTCCGTTAGTTAAGTTAACGACATGTTGACTAGGATGCCAAATTGATGCACACATCAGCGACAACTCAGCAAAAGATACTATCTCCATCGTTCTCTATTTCCATCAGCCACATCCTTCCTTCCCGACCCATCGTTCTCTATTTCCATCGGAGATACTATCTCCTCTTTCACCGCCGATGCCTTCTTCTTTGCGACCGTCGTTATCTTCTTCTCAACAGCCCTCTTGCTCTCTTTCTTGCCGTTTTTCTGTACTCTATCAAGTGTTCGAGGCCTTCTCCTTCAATTTAGCAATTGGGATATGAATCTGCAATTTGGAAAATAAGGCCTCATTCTTAGTCATACTCTTAGGTGACAGCGATAAAGGGATGGACGGAAGTGACTATTTTGTATATTTCAAAAGTTGTGGCTATAACTATCACAAACGTGAAAGTTGTGGCTATAACTATCACAAACGTAAAAATTGTGGCTATAACTGTCACAAACTTGAAAGTTGTGGCTATGAAAGGGTATTTTGCTTTTTCTTTGTTAATCCATGTGGATCGCCAACTCACCATTTTCGTCAGTCCAGTCATACTGTCAAGTGACACCGTTAAGGGGATGGACGGAAATGGCTATTTTGTGTATTTCAAAAGTTGTGGCTATATCTGTCACAAACGTGAAAGTTGTGGCTATGGAAGTGTATTTTGCCTTATAACTTTCACATTTGAAACAAATATAGACACAACTTTCGGAAAAAAACAAAATAGCAACTTCCGTCAATCTCTTTAACGGTGACACATAAGTACATAACGATGAGACTGCACTGATGGAAATGCTGAGTGAGTGAGTGGTGATATATTATCCCCACCAATCCATGTGCATTAACAGAAAGAAAAATAAATAAAATAAAAAGGTAAAAACACTAATTCCTCCACCACCACCACCACCGCTCTCCTCTTTGCCTTTCTCTAGGGGTGGACAATGGGACGGGACGGGATGCCTGTCCCCTTTGAAATGGATACCCAATCCCGTTTGGACAGCAAAGTCCATCCCGTACGGGATGGATAACGCGTACCCGTTTATACTCGTTAATACCCGTTTAATAGTTGTTATCCACAATAAAAAAAAAAGGGTTAATAGCATTGTATGCCCCTCTACTATTACAAGTTAACAAAAGTGCCCCTCTATTAATTTTTTGCACTTTTATGCCCTGCAACTATCAAACTGTAACAAATGTACCCTTGTGTTACTATTTCCACCAAATTCCCGTTAATAAGGTCTGGAAATGACTATTTTACCCCCTGCATTATCACACATATAATTATTTTGTAGCAAAAAATAACCATTAAAATAATTTTATTTTTATGCTCTTTTAATTCCCCTACGGGCTACGACTATCGAAGGGAACCCCCACCCCATCTACTTCCTTTCTTCTTCGCGTAACCTCGCCGCCGTCGATTCATCTTTGTCCCCGCAACTCCGGCGCCAAGCTTTCCGACAACCCACTGCTACTTCGGCGCCAATTAGCTCCTCGAGCCTCCAGTCAAACACCCGAAGGTCAAAGCGTCTGTGTCGTCCACGACCACATCGCAACAAAAATGAGTGCGGCTGTGAGCGAATAATCAGGAAAACCAAAAACTCATGATTTCACATTTATTCCCCTGCTTCTATTGCTCGCGACGAGACCCTGGAAGGCAAATAACCTAGAATCCTTTGATTACGGGTTTACTGTTTTGCATCCCGAATTCCTTGTTTACTGTTTTGCATCCCGGATTCCTTTGATTACTATGAAAGCTTAATACTTCACTTAATTAGGCTTGAATTCCAAACGAGGAGAATGAAACCCTGCTATTTGATAAATTTTGGGTTGGATTTGTTCATTTTTTTGGGGGGTCTGTTCTCGGTCAGACTTGACATCAAGTTTTGTACAATGAAGGTAAATGGACGGTGGTGGGGGCACACGAAGAAGAAAGAACTGGAGGGGTGGGGTTCTTCTCGAAAGTACATGGGTAATTAAAAGAGCAGAAAAAGTAAGTAAATTTAATATTTATTTATAAAATAATTATATAAATTGACAATGAAGGGGTAATATAGTCATTTCCATACCTTACTAACGGGAATTTGACAGAAATAGTAACATAATGGTACATTTGTTACGGCTCGATAGTTGAAGGGCATAAAAGTGCAAAAATATAGTAGAGGGGCATGTTTGTTAACTTGTAATAGTAGAGGGGCATAAAATGTTATTAACCTTAAAAAAAGAGAATACATAGCCTGTTGCCCATTTCCATATTCGGTTGGGCAATAAGAACCCACTGTCCACAATAAGATAAAGAACCCAGTGCCCACAAAATAATGAAACATGAACTTGGAACAAAATAACAATGTCAAAGTCAAATTCAAAATGTCAAAATCAACCAATACTAACTTCTAGCATATTATCATAAATAGAAAAGTCGGCAAGCAGCGAGATTGATCAGATTGCTAGGCAGCCCACGTAATGCCAATAAACTCAGAAAGCAAAACACTTCAATTTCTCCTCTTTTGTTTACCTTCTCTTCGCGCCGGACGTTGCTGCACAATATGAGGAAGAGCGGTCGACATAGGCAAGGATATCGTAAGTCTGGCAAACAATATCGGCAGGAGTGCGAGGCTTGTGCTTGAACAACCCCTTCATCTTCTGTGATCTCGACGGAGACAGAGCTCTAGACAATGCTCCAAACGTTGTCAGTGGCGTTGGGGCTGAGATCTAGAGGATAGGAATGACCTGCGACATTGGGATTCGTCTTGCTCTAGGTCTACTGCTAGTCTAGTCTTCTGGGCGAGCCGCGAGGGAGAGCCTCTCTCAGTCTTAGTCATGAGCAGTCGCCACCGCGCCGAGTGAGGGAGAGGTGAGAACTGAAACTCATAGAGGAGAGGAGATGCCGAGATGGGCTTGAACGCCTGGTCCCCTAAAGGCCTAAACTGGCCGAGGTCGACTAGGCTCGGGCTGCTGGGCTGGGCTTGGGAGGGTTGATAGTGGGGGTGGGATTGGGTCTATTGGGAACTGGTTTCATAAATCATATTTGGGCTAATGTGTATTGGGTATAATGGACACCCATATTACCCAAACGGGTAATCACGGGTAACCCGCGGGTACCTAATGTTGAAATTTACACTCCCAAATCCCATCCCGCAATAAATAAAATGGGTATTTGCGCACCCGTAACCCACAAAAAACGGGACAGGTATGGGTATACTCAAATACTTGTTTCCCGCTGCCCATCCATACCTTTCTCACTTTGCCTTCCCCATTGATTCCCTCAACGCATCCATCCTCCCAACTCGCCAAACCATCTCCAGATCATACTCAGATCTTAAAGAATTCCTATTTTGATAGGAGAGCGAAGATTCATTGTCAATCAGGACTTCGTCACATTCGTTGTGCCGCCATCGCCATCGTCGTCCGGCCACCGCCAGATCCTCACGAACTCGCAGTTGTCGCGGCCGCCGCTGCGTCTCACTGCCATATTCCCTTCCGCTTTTGCTTGCTCTGTTCGTTGAGGAGAGAAAAGAGGGATTGAGAAGGTGGAAAGCCAATGATATGGGTTCCAGATTTGGGGGTGGAAGGGTGACTAGAACATAAAACAGCAAGCGTGAATGGAGAAGGAATCCCTTCGTTGATCTTCTCTACTTCTTGTTATCCAGGAAGTGGCAGTCATCCTCTGTTCGCCGTACACAACATCGACGCAACTCAGGCGGCTGGAATTTGAGTTTAGAATCTCGGACTCTAGAATCGCTTCGCTTTTTTACTATTGGTAGCCTTCTTCCTGAAGATATGTAGTCGTCGACGAAAATAAGCTATTGTTGTTGCTGGGTAGTCAAGAAATCATAACATTGTCATCGATATCATGTGCTCGACATTGATGAGAGGAGCGAAAGCGAAATAGGGGAAAGAAAAAGGTTGAGCAAGATGTCGATGTGCATATTTAGGGATTTAGTGGTTTTCTTTTGGGAATTGGCCACCGGTTTGGGGTTTAATGGAGAGGAAAATAGTATATTTTGTGGAATGGAGTCGAGACATCGATTAGGAGACTTCCTCGGTGAGGGGAGTAGAGGGGAGAAAAAGGGGGGAAATTAATTATTTTAATCAAATTATGATGCGTCATCTACATGTAATGCTATGTTGATTTGCGCTAACATGGAAGATGATTTGGATCCTAGTCAGCCTAACGTTAACCTAACTGACGAAGTCTCCATTCTCCAACATCGTTAAAGTTTGTAACGAAAATTGCTAGATTCGGCATACACTACAGGAAAATTCACCTTCGATTACGGGATTTCCCGTGACTGAACAACCGATTCCCGTGATGGAAAGATTTTGTCACGGTATATTCCCGTGTCAAGCGTGCCCGTGATCAAAGATCAAAAGTCACGGGAAATCCCGTGATCTCGAAAATACAATAACGGGAAATTACCCATGACAACAGATCTATTTTGTCACGGTAATTACCGTGACTTCAAATTAAACACGGGAAAAACTACTGTGACTAAATTATAAAATAGCCACAGGATTTCCCGTGACTGATTAGGTTATTTTTCATGGGATTTAACTAGCATCCAAAGGAATGATGCGGTTATGAAGTTCTAATGAGTCGTATTCTAATTGATATGACATAATATTTAATATTAACATTAAGGCC